CATATAAAAAAACTATGTACATGGACATTATACATGAATTAGTAAATATTTATAAGCATGAAAATTGTATTTTTATCTACCTTTATTTATAGTTTAATAAAACACTATTATATTGAACATGAATGAAAAAGGATTGAATATGTGATCTTATCAAGTACTGTTTTGATCTAAATACAAACTAGACTTTCTTTGAAGCATCTTCTACAACTTGTTATAACAATTTAAACAAACTGTTACCATTGTGTATAAGGATGATAACTTTCATTTTAATATACTATTGCATACAATAATAGTTGTGTACAACACATCCGGTTGCACGGCAATCCATTCAAGTAATATCATCAACACACGAACAAAAACATACATATACTTCTTTTCTTTTATACTACTTATGTTTGTGAAATGAAGAAATTATCCCATGAATGAAGTTCTTTTTCCTCCCTATGGAAGTTAATTTGCGTTTTTAAATTAGAATAGAAAAAAATTTTATTCTCGCATGACTGAAACCAAATTGTTTTTTTTTGGATTATGTATCAATAATTTATTAAGGGATTTGTTTTCCTCTACTTATTATGTGAGTAGTATATTCCCTCTTTTAATTTTTTGAGAAAAAAAATATATTCACCAACAAAGAGAATATTACTAATTAATAATTAATCTACTTACTTCCGTTTGTTCGCGTTTATATTATTTTATTGTAGGTAAGAATTAAGGAAAAAAACAACATATTCTTCATTATTTCCTGTGATACTATCAAAAAATTTCTATTGTAAAGCAATAGTATTCTTTTATGTTAATAGAAGTTCTGGAATCTAATGAAGCTTTTATTATAAATCCAAGAGAAAATATAATCGGCGGTATTTACTGTAGAATAAACTGAAACATGGCAGAAATCCATGATGTCACTGACAAGTAGACTGAGTCATGTCGGTAGGTGTCGACTACCTGGTTGGGGTCCGCGAGATAATAATAATCGATGGTTAGAGACCCTGAATGACATGGCTCAAAACCGTTTGCAATGGCGCAGGTGCATTTTCTCTTTGTGTTCTATGAAATTCTAACCTTCTTAATTAATCATCACCTCTATCTTTCTCTCTTTCTAAATTTACCTCACTGAATTAGACTTCTTGAATAACATCTTTGTACCGATTACTTTTAATACTTTTACTACCTTCACTACCATGGGATTTGAATTGACAATTACATCTCTGTGCTAATGTGGTATGGCAACCTGAACTGCTGTACTTACGTGCAAAGTTCTACATCGCTGTTGATGATAATTATAGAATAAAAACGACGATGATAATTTATCCTTAAGTGAATCGATAGTTTTGATAAAATTCAAAAATCTCGTTTTAGCAATTATGAGGCTATCAGGGCGATAATCGTAATAAACATGTTTTTGAAGAATTTCAAAGGCTAAAGTGTATAAAATTTTTTTTCAAGAATCAAATAGATGACAAGATAAACAATGATAGTCCATGTATTATTGTTCAAGAAATTTTTAATCTTGATATTCGGTATTTAGAAGGAAACAATAATCAGTTTTTATGACTGAAGGGGATTTGTGAAGATCATATTATTTTTATAGCTGAAATCACGAATTAATGTATGCTAGATCACCATTAGTAACCTAAGGTCACTGAATGGTCGTTTCGTTTTTGTATGAGACTCCCAGCAAGCGGCAATAGAACTGATGACCTTCGGTCTCGCGTGATATCTTTCATTCTCTAGACCACTCAGTGGGCATCCTGATTTCAGCTATGAAAATAATACAAACTTCACAAATCCCCTTCATTAATAACAATCATGCTCTAACTAGTGACTAGCTACATGATGTTTTCCTGGAGTTCTGGTAAGAAGTCGTAATCAGCGGACTTAAATCCATGTCAGGTAGGAGACATTTATCCGCTACAGGAAATGGATGAAGGTTGTACAACATCGTGGATTAACTCCATCGGATGCTAACTCAGGGGTCTAGAGCTTAGAGAAACTCACGCAAGACAGAAGGTTGTGGATATACATTGTTAAGGAGTCCCATAATATGATGAAATGGTTGCCTTATGCTTCCAGTCTCCTAATGATGGTCTAGCATAGATCAGTTCGTGATGTTAACTATGGAAATGATCAACTTGTCAGTGATATCATGGTTTTTGATTCACCACCCTTAATCATTTATTAGAATCAATCGCCAAAAAGTACTGTTTCGTGAGTTTTACTTAAATGGTACAATGAGTGTCAGTAAATAATTTGAACCTTTTTAGTAAATAACCGGAAATTTATTTTGTTCTTTCTCGGTTCTACGTAATTTCATTCTCATGGACTTTTTATTCATTGATAGAGCACGCAATAATAACGCTTATCAGTTATAATACTCACAATCACTAGTATGCATGAAGCAAAATTACAATAAATATATATTTTTAGTTATCAAGACTGTAGATATCTCACATGCATGATCCAAGAAATATGGTAAACTAAATGTATATGTGACTGTTCTTGGTGTATATAATTACTTTTATTTAATTTAAATGCTTATGACTTCTGCTGTTTGAAAAACTTCCAATTAGGCCGATTTATTTAGATGTAAGTTTATCATAATGAAAACATTATACTTTTACTGTATTCTCCAAATATTATTTACTAAAAAAGTTGTGTTTTTTTTCAACAACAATAATTTTGTAACATTTTAAACAGATACATAATTACTGAACGTTGATTATGCAAGTTTTAATTGGGAACAGAATAATTTGCTAGTAAAATCATCTAAGTAGGAATTTTAGATCAATAAATCTAAACAAACGAAACTTAAACATGGTTCATGTAAATTATCTATAGATTTTAAATTTCTTTTCAGTAGCATGAAAAGTGACTACAATCCAATCAGTAAAACTAGTGGACAAATTACAAATTGATGAGAATAATTTAATCAATACTAATTGGTAAACAAGTAGAATATTTTAACTAATGTTAAGAAACTTAATATGAAGCAGTGTTTACTGCTATCTGCTGCATTCAACAACTTAAGATTAAACGAAGTGTACAGCAATGTCACATTCTACCTTGTCAATCAGTTCCATAATCTAAGAAGCTAGCATAGAACAATCCGCTGTGAGTTTGAGGAGATTCATTAAAAGTGAACTTAAGTGAACTCCCACTTGATTTTAGTGGGAGTAAGTGTTGAAGTTCAATACAAACTGCAAGAAGTGTATACTTACGTCCCACCTCTGAAAAAAATTAGTTCACAAACATCAAGTTCGTAACAACCACATCACTCTTAAACAATCTACAATCCACAAGTCCCTATTTACATTTCCAATCGATTTCCAATATTGCAAAAAATTATCAAATGTCAATAGTAAATAACTGTTATCTTGTTCTCAATATAGTTGGACTATATATACTAGTCATGACTTATCTCTGAAAAATTCTATAATTTAACCTTAACATAAAAAAAGCATACAGATAGAAAATGTTAACAGAACAATGAATATTTGAACACCTGGAACAAATTACAGATAAAATAAAATCTGTAGTTGAAATTTTATCGTTTAATCAATAGACTTTTGACGTACAAAATAAAATACCATTTCAAATTAGTAGTATGATGTGAATTCATACTTTTAAATCAGCAGTTCCATGTTTTACACCCTAATCAAAATTATTTATCACCAGTTGATACTTGAATACATGAAATTCGTTGAACAGAATGAGAAGTTTAAATTACATAGCATACCTAGCTAATCAGATAGGAAATCCTAGTTACAATATTTTTTTGTGAAACCCATGTTTTCAACTCTAAGATCACTTCGTAGTTCATACAATAAAATGAATTTCAACCAGATAATCATTGAAAACTAACACAAATGAACATAAATATTTTACTCTTATGTGGGATTCCTAATCAGTACTCACCGCTGACTACAACAGGGACTAGCATGTAACCGTAAAATCATTGAGTTTTAATCTAATAATTTACTTTCTCATTTCAGTCCATTTTATAGTGTCACATAAATATTATCATCTGTTATTGGCAACATCTCTCTCAAATTTGGCATAGTTAAAATTTATTTGTTACACTTTCTCACTAGATGTCATGGGATCCCTTTAAAAATAGACGTATGACTATTATCAGTATAAGATAGCTGTAGAGAATATTCAATTGAGACTTGTGCTTCTTTGAGAGCTACCGCCTCGTTGAGATTAACTGTTTGATGTATTCATAGCAACGATCAGTGATTATTGATCGAAATGACTTTTCAAAATCGGGATTAAGTTAGGCGTTTGTTAAACACGAGTGTCGAACTGCTTTTCGTGTGCAGCTCATCAATTTTCGTAAAAGTATCTGAGAATTTCGGACCAAACCACAGTGCTTGTATTTGGATAAACGACTAGTTGAATCACTGAAAACATATTTTTCAAGAGAATATACAATTTATTTAGAATTGATAATAGTGATTATAAATTACTGCTGTTTTTATTTGATAACAGACCGAAAAGTTCGATAAATTTGGTTTCCTATTCTAACGGTGTTGCATAATCTGAACTTAAAATCATCCATTTCAATAAAGAAATAATATTATTGGAATAATCAATCAGTCATTGTTAGACCACTATTAGAGACCTAAAAGCACTGGACGGCGTTTCGTCTTGATATGGGACTCATCAGCAGCTCTCATTCACCACTTCTGCTACTTGCAAGGTCCGAAGTCAAGAACATTCGTTCTATGCCTAACCTCTTGTGAGGTGCATGAGTTATGGATACGCACTGCTGACGAGTCCCATACCTTGACGAAACGCCTTTCCAGTGCTCCAGGTTTCTAATGGTGGTCTAATATTGATGAATTCATGGTTTTAAATAAACACAGCTATTCATCGAAAAATAGTATTCCTCAGTTCTGTAAAATTTTATTTAACATACACTTTATAAAATAAAAATTATTATCAATGAATAAATAATTACATAGATTGTGAGTCTATTCATCCTAAAACTAACTAACCTTAATAATTTTAGTGTTGATCGGTGAATTCTCTTTAATTTCTGCTTTATAGAATTGTTCTTCAAATGTAGGCACATTATCATTTGCATCTTCTATGTATAAAGTGATTGTCATTGTAGCTGTTTGACTAGATGATACTACTGTTGAAGACAATGTTGAATAATTCAAAGATTCATATCTATTCAAATTATGTATTGAAGAATCATAAGATGTTTGTGAAAATTGTGTTGATCCAACACCATCCCAACAATATAATATTGATTCATATTTATTCGGTCCATCTTCACGATCGAATTCATTGAGGCTGTATAAAGTGAAACGTTGATAAACATGATTTTCAGAACTTGACGAAGGAGATGATAAACTTACAGGTAGATAATTGTTATGATTATTGTTAAGATCAGAGATTAATCCAAGTGGTGGTGAAGAGGAGGACTGTTGAAGTGGAAGTGAATACATAGATTCTTGTACAAATACAATAGGTTGTTTACTTTTCAAATGAGATGGTTCTTCACATTGTACTTGACCATTAACTTCAGGACTGTCACGATCAACAATAAGAAGCTAGAAATCAAAAAAAACGTTTTCATTATTATTATTATTATTATTATTATTATTATTATTACCATTAATCAAGTTAATTTTCATATGGATATTAACGTTAAATATGAATGACCCTGTTATTTGATACAAGCACTTTACGTACTTAAAAGTTCAATCAGAATGTTTTCTACATTTACAAACTTACCACCCACTCCCCTACCCATTACTAATTGCCGCTTAAATTATAATTGAAATAAATAAATTTTAAATTACTTTTCATTCTCATTCAATAATGCAATAATATGGAATCTTATTTCGGTTAAGAAAGAATAACTGGGCGTATTCTATAGCAATTCTAAAAGAATAATACTAATAAAATTTCTCAACAATTTTCTTATAATTATTAAGAAAAGAGAAATTTGCTTTTATTAAGAATAAATGCATGTCGAAATCCAGATTTCTTCGAAGAAAATAATTTGCATTATCTTGGAAAGTCAGTCATTCATTAGTAAAGACTATAAATGAATAGTTGAAATTGCTTATTCCGAACGAAAGAAAGAAAGAGACAAATAGTACGAATTAAGTGTGATTATTAAAATTGGCAATCACTTAAGTAAAATGATGTAGGCTTATTTTTTAATTAAATAAAAGAATTATCCAAGTGATTAGTGCGAAAAAAGTAGGTTGTAGAGTTTATCATGTTAAAAAACAAGATAAATAATAAAGTGTGAGTTTAAAAGATCAAGTTGTTTTCAATTACTGACTGGCAACCATGTTGACATTAAATCATTAATAACTAACCACTTCTAGAATCGTCTGCGTTACACAGATCTAATTCATGAGTCGCTCAAACGTTTTTTTGTAACAAGATAATTTCCAGTGAAGAAATGAGTTATCAGACAGTAAGTACTACTTACTTTAATTAGAAGATACTGGCGAAATTTCATAACTACAGGGAATGGTGTTAGAAGTATTGTCTTCACTGAAATAAATTATTTTGAAGCATCAGTCGCTTTCCAGACAGAAAATTTATATATGTTTATATATATATATATATATATATATATATATATATATATATATATATATATATATATATATGGCTGATGTGCCAGATCAGTTTTTATTAGGCGCGAATGCCCGTGGAATCAGAAATTATTCCGTGACTGTTTCGCTACATTCAAGAATAATCATTTTAACAGTGATTCATATTTTTTATTAATTACAATAATAGTGCATTTAAAAGATTACAGTGTAGTATCACAGTCCCATTTATATATTACTGATAAAGTTTTTTATTGCCATTCCTACTACTTCTGTTGATAACTTCATATTATGCAGCAAATGCCTGTTAAATTAAAAGAGTCAGTTATTTTGAAGAAAAAAATACATTTCTGTCTTATTTTGTTTCTTCCTTCTTCAGGTTTTTTTTTATCGCAGTATCTTATTTTGCACTGATCAGGTAGGAAATACGAAGGCCTTAGGATCGATGATAAATATACAGCTGCTCATAAAAATATTTGGAGTTCATCAGTGTTTCAATAGCGTGATTCCATTGAAAGTTATGGATAAGTGTTCCAGTTCCACTATGAACGTTAATACTAGGGTGCCAATAAATTCCCTTGAATATTGTTGGGGATGTTAGATCCCCAGAACTCAATGTACTTCCACACAAATCCAAACTTTCTGCCAAAGGCTAGCCATTAAGCACTTACGCTCGCCAACATACCACCCGCAATCGAATGGGCAAGCGGAAAGGTTCGTGGACACGTTTAAAAGAACATTGGTTAAGTCAAAAGGATAGGGGACGCCAGCTGATGCGTTACAAAATTTCTTGTTCGTCTATCGAACAACACCAAGTGAGTTGTTACCGGAGGAAAAGTCCCCAGCAGAAATCCTGATGTGAAGAAGACTAAAAACGATCCACAGACTGATTCATCCGACCAATCCACCAACAAATCCGCAAAGGCAATCCTATTACGAAGTGGGATGCTCTGTGTTCGCCCTGGACTATAGAACAAATCATGGTCACTGGGTAGAAGTGTGAGTGATCAGCAGATTTGGACGAGCTATGTGCGAAATAGAGGTCGATGGCGAAAGGTGGTCACGCCATCAAAACCAGATACGCGAACGGCTAGCTCCAGGTCGTCCATCAAGAGCTGGAAATCTTCCCCTTGACATCCTACTTGATATCTTCAACCTGCCAGCACCCCTCACGAGAGCAAACTCAGTCACAAACTGAACTCCGTTCCCAAAGATATCCTCTCAGACAGCGGCGGAAAACAGTTAAGATTCAAGTCGACCCCAGTAGCGCACGCTATTAAAAAGGGGAGGAGTGTTGGGGATGTTAGATCCCCAGAACTGGCTTGATAAATATCTTTATTTTGGATTTGTTTCATGGACCGATCAGCTGCCCTTAGATCACATTTCTCACCAGGAAAACCCTTGGCTGTGATTGGTCACTGTATCATTTTAGTGTGATAATTTTGTGACTGTCCCAAGGACGTCTCTATAGAGTACAAATAAACGCATTTTGAGTGCTTGGATACATTATGTGCTGGCTGGGTGTTTGTAGAATACGATTTCTACACTATATCAAGACTTCTCGCTGATTCAATTTGGTCAAGGGATCACAGTAGCCTACCTGGACTCTGGTTTATTGTTTTGTTCTCGTTATTCGACTGAGGTGGACTCGTAATAGTTTAAGCATGCCTAGAGAAGAGCGTAACAAATATATATATATATATATATATATATATATATATATATATAACAATGTTGATACAGTGAAAGACTATGAATAATATATAATATTCAGTATACAAAACATAAATCTCATTAGTTCATAGTATACAGTAAGTATATTTCTTTTAAAGAAAATCATGGTGCCAATAAAAAAATAATGCAATTCTTAATTTTGTTTAAAAAAATTTTAATTATACTTAAATTAATAATTCATTTACTACCTACTTATATACGATTCACTATCTTTTTCTTGTTAGACTATAAAAATGTTCATAGTATATATATACATATGAATTGATTATGAATACTGTTTTACAAAAATGTAATCCTTATGTACACTGAAGCCGGATGAAGTTTTAAACTTTTCAACTATTGTCATAAACATTCAAACTGATCATGCATTGGTATAGTAAAAAAAATACATAACTTCTATCTAAAAAGTTGACCGTCTCAGTGTACATCATCCTCACATTGTTACAAGTGATCTGTCTCACAACTTTTGTCAAAACTAAAAAAATTGTTGATCTAAATTTTACTTGAAACCATGAATCGATTAATGTTAGACCACCGTTAGAAACCTGGGAGCACTGGACGGCCATTTCGTCCTGGTATGGGACTCCTCAGCAGTGCGCATCCACGACTCCTGCACCCCGCAGGATTCGAACCCAGGACCCGCGGTATTGTAGGCGAACGCCTAACCATCGGACCACTGAGCCGGTATCTAACGGTGTTAGTGTCTAACTTGATCAATTCACGGAGTTGCGCAACCTCATACACAGTCTTCGGTAGTTACTGTCTACACCCGAATAGGTTGAACTTCACTGGTCACGTCCTCCCTGCTGAGGAGTCCCATACCAGGACGAAATGGCCGTCCAGTGCCTCCAGGTTTATGATGGTGGTCTAACATTAATCGATCCATGGTTTCAAATAAAACTTGTACTTTTTATCATAAATCCAGGGTCTATGGGTAAAAGAAAAGATGCAAATTTTAAAATCTAATTAAATTTATGACTGACTATGTACATGTATATATACATTAAAGTTTCTGTAAAAATTTAAGATGCTAATTGACAATTTCCACTATAGAAATGACAGTGGACATGAACTGAACAAGTACCTATCATTTTGATTGTGTAAATACGAAACAGACCAATGTGTTGTGCCGGTATTATTTGTATGGATAGATGTTAAATTTTTTTCAACAAATATATAATGAACCACGAATTTTCGATCGATATTAATTAAATGCGAAGTTTTAATACAGTCATAACTGATCGACTGAGTATCACATAATGGAATGTACTTATCACAATAACCTGTCATACTGATGTTTACAAACCGAAAATTAATTTTTAAAAATTAACCAAATTTAAAGTCATTCAGTAATGTGAAATTATCCCTGAATACTTGTTTCGTGGTAATTACAAAAATTTCCTTACATCTAAATTCCATCATGTCAATGGATTGTAGCCTACACAACTGGCAGAAGAAATTTAAATCCAGCTCTTAAAATTTATAATATCACGAATCGATCAAAGTTAGTTATCCTTTGAACACTATAAAGCATTGAATAAATGTTTCGTCCGAGTATGCGAATTCACAACACTCAACCTCTACAAGCCTACTATCAATAAAATCCATGAAGTTCAGATCCCATTGGGAAACATTTTTCCCCATCTTTCTTGATTTTATTACATAATGATAAAAAAATGTAGTCAGTTGTTTTTTCGCTGTAGTTGATGGCTGTCTATTCATTTGTATTGTCAACAGTTTTATTAAAATTAAACTCAACACAATTTCGCTAAAAGGTTTCTTATTTGAATCATCTAGTAAACTGTAAAAAACAATGTCACTATGATTATTTTTTTAGATGTTATAATTATCATCATTATTCTTACTGTGAATGTCATTATTAGTTCATGTTTCACAATCTTCACCGGATGATATGCTTAGTTTGCACTGATGATATTCAACTTATTGACATTTCTAACGAATACATGACTTTCACAATCATTTTATGTAACATTTCAGTTTTATGAGCTAACTATTATATTATTCTTATCAGCCAACGGTGTAACGAAAACAATTTAATAAATATGCTTAGAGGATACTTTATTCAAACATATAGTAATTATTCATAAATGTTACTTTCTACAGTTTGGGGGTATGTTATAATTACCATTAAAAACCATAAGAAAGCTAAGCATGTTTATTAAATTGGCGTCTTTGAGGGAAAATTGCAATATATTTTGAAAAGTGAAAATATTTAAATCTTCATACATTGTAAATGATAAATGCTTTGCTTAAAGAATTATAAAAGAAAAGTTTAAGTCTCCGTACTTAAATCGTCTATTGAAGCCATCTTTCTGTTATCGTGAAATCGTCATTTTTCAGTTCAATGTTCAAGTTGTCAATGAGTGGTGAGAAAACTTGTCAGTCAGTTTTACAGGTTTCCGGTACTTTGACTAAATTTGTATGCAATGAAGTTTGTTTGATAATCACTGCGTGCAGTAGATAAATTGCCTATTTATCTTGATGATGTTCAGCTGGGACTGGTTACAAGATAAAAAGTAACTCATCATCATGATCAAATTAACAAAAAATTTTATTATCATAAAAAATAATAATAATAATTTCAAAATCATCAATACAATTGATCATTGATATTTTCCTCTTTATATTGAACAAGCTGATATGTTTTGACGATTGAAAATAACAGATTTGTCTTATCGATAAACCATCCAAACATAATCATTATAAACTGAGAGACATTTCAGTGAGAATCATAGATTTCAGTTAAATTTATTCTGTATTTTATTTCATTAATCTATTACCCTAGACTTATTAAAACAGTAATTATACTAGCACGGAGATAAAATTATACAATTAATACAGAATTATTAGTGATAATTTAACATTAATTATATACTAACTCTATTGCATAAAGAAATAATACAAACTAATTATTTAGTGAACATTTTCTATTGATTCAGAACTGCGTATTATGATAAAAAGCGGTAGATAAATATATAGACAGAAAAATTTACACTGATGCGCACTATTCAATAACACACAATAATAAGCTCCAGAGAAATAACTTGAGTCATATAAAATATGGGTTAATGTATCATGATATTATAATACGAACTGTAGAATTGTTTGTACAATTCAAAGTGGCTTTCTTGTCAAGTATATATCGGAAGTATTTATCACTAGATAGATATTATCTTTTGTACCTGTTAATTGTTTCGAAATTAGTATGTCTATCACTATAATATCTGTTGGCTGTCAGTGCATATTGAATGAATTCATGTGATGAAATCAACTGAATAGGCAACTTATTGTTTCTTTGTTTATTTACAGTCCTATAGTATTGTATCAACTTAACTGATACAATTATTCTGTATGAGATATTTGAACACTGTTAGATTGTTATTTGAATGCATTTTTGTTCACTAATCTCCTATCTAATTCATGCTGTCACATCATCCTTTTATAGTAGGCTGTCATTAATTACGGATGTCTCTTTCATTCATTATGCTTTGAGAATAAAAAAAGGTCTTTCGTTTCCCTGTAATTGCAGACTGTTGAAACGTTTTCTGGTTTAGCCATGTACATACGTATACTTCAGTTGTTTTCTCAGACAGAGTCTAAACTGGGAAATCAAAATCAACTTCCTAATTTTTTTCTCATTATATGCAGAATTCAGACATTTCTAAATGTTTTCTTACAAATTCTAATCAATTTATTTGTGAGAATCATGTAATCGACCCATTTCTTAAATACATATCAAAACTGTAAGTGATAATTGAATTTAACTTATTCTGTACCGGTGTGCTATAACAGACAAAATGTTTGTTTGAATTGAGATGAATGTATAATATTTTCAATTAGAGTTATGGAGATTAGTGTTTGTACACATTTGAAATCATCAACCAATCATTGTTAGACCACCATTAGAAACCTGGAAGCACTGGACGGCCGTTCCGTCCTAGTATGGGACTAATCAGCAGTGCGCATCCACGACTCCTGCACCTCGCAGGATTCGAACTCGAGACCTTCGGTATTGTGCGCGGACGCCTATCCTGTGGACCACTGGGCCGAGGTCCAACGGTGTTAACATCTAACTCTGAATGATCTAGGGATTTCGCGCGACCTCACCCGCTTGCTTTTGGTAGTTACTGTCTACACCCGACAGAGTTGAACTCCACTGGTCACGTCTTCTCACTAGAGCTTAGAGCTAGTCACCAGTGAGCACATATTACGATATTTTCAATTAGAGTTATGGAGATTAGTGTTTTTACACATTTGATGATGAGTCCCATACTAGGACGAAACGGTCGTCCAGTGCTTCCAGGTTTCTAATGGTGGCCTAACAATGATTGATTGATGATTTCGATTGTGTGATATTCGAATGAGACCTTAACTTTTCTGTGTCCGAGTGATGATTACTCACAAAACTCGAATTTACTAATGCAATGACCTCAGTGAATAGATACCATTGAATAAAAATAAACAGACGCAATGGAATATGGAATAACTGATCAGTAAAAATGAGTCATTTTATGCGATAGAATTCTACTCCACTATATGAGATAAATTCATTTGTATTGATTGTTTGAATTAACTATCCATTGATTGAAAAGGTCACTGATGACTTGACATGCGCTATGTAAGTTATCAACAAATCAAGACCAAATAATCAAGCTTGAATGTTACTCCTCCAACCATCAATGATTTGTTCATTCTTATAATTTGATAAGAGGCAAGTTTTGAAATGTAGATTCAAACGTCTCAAATTATGATTAGTTACATACAAGGGTAACCATCAGTAAACTGTTGATTCATTAAACATACAAAAGTACCCATTTGAAGTTTGTGATAACCACGTAATTCACGTCTTTTACAATTTTAACTGTAAACAATAAAATGGTTTGTAAATTACATCAAGGAATGGGCTTTATCATTTATCCATTGAAAATAAAGAAGCATTAGCCAGATTATTCGTCTACAGATGAGACTCCTTCGCAATACACAACCAAGATCCTACTGTGGACGAAAAATAACAAGTCTCAATCGCATGGTGTGCATAAGGACCATAAATTAGATGCACATTAGAGACTAATTCCAAAAGAAACCGTGACTAATAATGACATTTGAAAATGATTTTGTTATACCACACAATGAATGGATTTGGAAGTCTATAGCATTGAAACACTCATCACATGACCCGAAATTACTCACTTGGATAGCCATTCTAGTTTCAGATTCATACTACTGTTGAATCCATTACTAACAAATGGTTATCCAAAGCATTCTAACTTCAATGGATTTTTTTAACTAAGATTTAATCGATAAAATTCAACAATCCCTGCAAGATTTCTAATTTACTTACTTACAGATGTCTGATGTTACAAATAATAATTAATATTCCGTTTTTATATGTTTGATAAAAAACAACTACAAATAAAAATTATTTATATTTGTATCTAATTAAGTAGTATAATTTGATGGTTAAAACATTTAGGACACAATTATGCTAATAATAAAAATTTTGCAAAGAAATTATTTATAGGATGTTAAACATAAAGAATCATGAACTTTCAACCATTAGTTAAATCTTTAAAACATTAGATGATAATTCATACATTTTAAATAATTTTGGCGGTATTGGAATTAATTACATTGTAATTTGGTAAATGAGCCATTAACAAAATGAGTCTATTCTATTATGTACAGACAGATACAACGCAGAACTTCGTACGTAAGTACATCAGTTCAGGTTGCCATACTACATCAGCACAGAAACGCAACTGTCAGTTCAAATCCAAGAGTGATAACGATAATAGAAGTATTTGCAGTAATGGAGAAAGTTATGGAGCGAAGATATGATTCGAGAAGTATAATTCAAAGAGATAAATTTAGAAGGAGAAAGATAAAGATGATGAGAAATTCAGAAGGTTAGAGTTTGAGAGAACACAAAGAGTGGATGCACCTGCGCCTTTGCAAACGATTCTGAGCCATGTCATTCAAGGTCTCTAACCGTTGGTGACTATCGTCTCACGGACCCCAACCAGATAGCCTACATCTAACAACATGACTCAGTCCACTCATCAGTGACTTCATGGATTTATTAGCAGTAATGGAGAAGATTAGGGAGCGAAGATATGATTCGAGAAGTATAATTCAGTGAGATAAATTTAGAAGGAGAAAGATAGAGATTATGATTGTATTATGTACATTCGGTAAAGTTATGAGTAATAATTAAATTGATTTGTATTTAAACTGACAAAAAGTTCTAAATATTCATTGAAAGTTGAATGTATCAATTAGTTATTTTATAGATGATCAATTATTCAACTATGAGTATTACTTAGTGATTATATATATATATACATATATATACAAACAATGGTAGGTAAAGTTCAGCGGATAAAATAGATAAGATTAGATGAATAACTGAGTAAGAAGAAAGATTGAGTTGGTCAGGGTTGTTATGCTCTCTATGAGAGGCAAAGACCTCGTAAAGAATTATGATTTTTTCATAAATGAAGTAATCCTAATCCACAACAAACTAGGTGTCTACAACCTCTTAATCATAAATGTCATCTACCGGTGAAAATGAACTATATGTTTACAAACACAAAGATGAAAAAAACAGTAACACATTTCGTTATTGTAAATTTATCAAAAATTACTTACATGACCGATAAATGTTTGAGCTGGTTTATTTTCTAAAATTGTCAATTGTTGTGGATTTAATACATATTCCGGTGGTTCATCATTTACATCCAAAATTGTAATTGTAAGTCGAGCCAAAGCAAAAAATTCACCATCACTAGCGCGTACTGTAAAACTATACACATTACGTTGTTCATAGTCTAATTTTTCTTGAACAATCACATGTCCATTTGATTTAATAGAAAATTTTTGCGTAGTATTTAAATCCACACCATTTTCCATTGAATATGTGATTGTAGAATTGACATCTTTGTCAGTTGCTTTCAACTGTCAATTTAAATATAAAAAGAATGTTAAATATAACAATGTCGTTGTACATTGTAAATTGACATGATATTTATGTATATATGGTAACCTTGAAATATGAAATATGTACATGTTCTTCATCTACACAACCAGTACTATGCAAACTAAGCAGACCAAACAATCATTGTACATCTGTTCCAATAATAATTCTTCACACAGTCGGAAAGTCAAAAGTCTGGAACTCAAAAAGAAAGCTTGATAATCCAAGAAGTCAATAATTTCATTAAAACCACTCTGTTTATCTAGCTACAATCACTCATTAAAAAAATATTCCAGAAGTAAACAGCCAGATAAATGGAAAGTTCAGTGAGGTAATATGAATTACAAAACTGTTACCAACAGTTGCTTTCAGTGTCAGAAATATAATTTATTAGCAATGTCTGAAAAAAAAACTGGATGAATTAAGGTCTTCCTAGCATATATTTCATTTCGAAATTCGGAGAAGACAACGACTGTAGTTTGTGAATATAATTCTACTTATTCAACAATATGTATGGTAAAAACGAAGCTCCGCCAATTAATTTTTACTTTAGGTTCCTCAAAAATGAATTTTTTTAAACATCAAAAACATCTAAAGATGGTTATGGGTAAATCGGTAATATCAATAAAATTAATTAGACATTTTCAAAATTATAAATGGTAAGAATTCCTCATTGAATGAGTATAATCTCCTTTATAACTACATGAAAGTCATGTCCAATCCCCATGTTTCTCAAACTTCACTCAGAACACTGGAGGTTTGATAATTTGTCACATGTAAAACAATCAGTGATACCTGTAACTGATACAATTATCATTTAGACAAATAACTTATATATATAAGAGAGATAGAAAATCTCATTGTACAGCAAACAGTAAAATTCAGTGAGTATTCCCCTAGTACAAATCTGAATAACAGATTTACAATTAAATGACTTATCATTTTCGAAAAGTAAAATATATAGCCACAACCCATGGTTAAAAGAATAGTTTAAACGCTGGATTAGATATATAAAAATATTAAATAACTATTCAGTAAATACTTAGCAAAAATAGCTTAACTAATTAACCATAGAATAAGCAGCCAACTTTCGTATTTCTACCTTTCTTCAATAATACTAAGCATTACATATACAATGTCACAAAGATCAGTTGTAATGTAAGACACAAATTCTATTGTATCACATTTAACACATAGATAAACATGAAAACTAACTTGCAACCGAAAAGATGTAAGAATGTCCGACTATTGAATACTGAATGAAAGACGATGATTATTGTTAATCTCCATCAGACTTCATTGTAATTTATTATATATCGTAAAGACATTTTCAAAAACAAAAACTTGCCAACATTAATTTCACACCTAAATGTTATCCATCATTCATAATGTCACCAGTTAAAATAACGAATGACAAGGTCAAATAATCTATATTTCTTCATTTCATTAAACAGCATGAACGTCATGTTTTATGTTTACAATAAGGTCAAATTAAGTAGAATGTTGAGACTTTTCTTCAATTCATCAAGAAATAAACAGTTTTATACTCAATATACGTTTGTCAGTACTGGACCATAATGTTAGGTTCGTCACTAAGTATGCTTGAAACTATTATGCGTTCACCTTAGTCGATAAACGAGAACGAGACAATGAACTAGCCTCCAGGTAGGCTACCCTGATCCGAAATGGCTAAAGAGAAGTCTTGATATAGCGTACAAAAGTATATTCTACAAACACCCAGCAAGCACAATACAATCAAGCACACAAATCTCGTTTATTTAGATATCATAGAAACGTCCTTGGGACAGTCACAAAAATAGCAGACTAAAACACACAGCAACCAATCACAGACAAGGCTTTTCCTGTTGGGAAATGAAGCCTCAAGGTCAGCTGGTCAGCCCATGCTCGCAAACGTGAAAACCAAAATAAGGCATTTATCAAGTGAGTTCTGGGGATCTAACGTCCCCAACACATAACCCCCTACAAATTTAGCTAAATATACAGTGCGCATGATATTTCTAATTGGTTAATTGTAGTTAGCTGGAAGTTTGAAGACCTAAGTGATGATTTCTAGTAGACTCAAGCTCAAGCTAGACGATTCAGCGGCTAGCTAAATAAATGTTTGATAAATGATTGTGTTATTTTATTGAAATGATTTGATGATATCAAATATTTCTCTAACATGAAAGTGATTGCTAATAAATGATAAATTAGTTTAAAATAATAAGTAGTTTATATTGTTATTTTGCTGTGATCTAGATGAATGAAACTATCGGGCATTCAGAAATTTAGTTTAATTTAACAAGTGAGTAGTTTCGTTTCCAAATTTAGATGTGCAGATAGAATCTCTATTATTTAACTACGAATAACTACGAACGCGGTCAACATTATTGACAATAACTTGAATCAAATGTTCAGCACCAGTTCCTGATTGTATCGTAAACAAATCTGACCTGAAAGAACAATCAATTTCTGTAATAGGCAAGGGATTTCATATTATACTGTAAATTTTTTCGAGTTAATATCAACTAAAAATAAAGATTGAGCTGGTTAACACGGCACTCTCCAGTAAAGTATTCATAATTCAAATATCAAGATAGGGCATCATAAGATAAAACCCTGATTATCACGTTGGGTGTCACGACTCTTCGATTATCAAACGTTTTAGGACAGGGAATCCCGTCTTGAAAATCATCCGGGTTTAAAAAAACACAAAAAAATATCGACAACTTAAATTCCAAAGAGCAGAAGTTTGATCTTTTGACAGTTCCCAATAGGTGCCAGATCAAATTACTAAAAACACGTATTAACTACGTCTTTGAAAAACTAAAGTGGCATAAGTCGACTTCATTTTTAGATAATAATCATGTCATCTAATATTATGTATGCAAAAAGATATAAATAACTTTGGATGTATGTCATGTTACTCACTTACTTACTTACTTACGCCTGTCACCCCCAATGGAGCATAGGACGCCGACCGATGTTCTCCAGCCTACTCTGTCATGGGATTCCCTTTCCAATTCTGTCCAATTTTTGTTCATTTTTCTCATGTCTCTTTCTATTTCTCGGCGTCATGTGTTCTTTGGCCTACCTCTTTTCCTTTTACCTTGAGGGTTCCAAGTAAGGGTTTGACTTTTGACGCAGTTCGATGATTTCTGCGATGTGTTTTGTTAACTTTTACCGCTTCTTCCTGATTTCCTTCTCCACTGTAATCTGCTTTGTTTTTTCCCACAGTAGATCGTTGCTGATGGTGTCTAGCCAACGGATCTGAAGTATTTTGCGTGGACTACTGTTAATGAATACTTGAATATTTTGGATGATGGCTTTCGTAGTTCTCCAAGTTCCTTCAATTCCTGATGTTGTCAAGTTGCAGAAATGCAGCCTTTGCTTCGCCGATCAGCGCCTACATATGTGTATTGGGTTCACCTTGATTGTCGACGATGCTGCCCAGGTATGTAAAGGTGTTAACGTCCTCCAAGGCATCTCCATCACCATTGATTTGGTCGGCGCGTGTTGTGTTGTATCGCAGAATCTTACTTTTCCCTTTATGTATGTTGAGACCTGCTGCTGCAGAGACTGCTGCAACACTGGTCGTCTTCTCTTGCATTTGTTGTAGCGTGTGCGATAGAAGAGCCAGATCGGCTGCGAAGTCCAAATCGTCCAACCGCCTCCTGGCTGTCCATCGTATCACGTGCTTCCTTCCAGATTTTGAAGTCATCATAATCCAGATGATCAGCAGGAGAGAACGGATGAGAGTAAGCAACCTTACCTGACACCGGTCTTCACCTCAAACGAGTCTGTCAGCTGTCCTCCGTGCACGATTTTACAGTTGAATACATCATAAATATTCCGTATGATGTTTACTATCTTCTCAGGCACGCTGCAGTGTCGAAGAAGCCTTTTCGACACTATGTATGTATGTCATATTAGACAGCCAATATTTGTCTCCACTACATAGTGAACTTGAATCATACTAAGATTCCTAAATATAGAATCTTGATCACTTGAATAGTAATGGAAATGTTCTATTCGAAAACAAGGTTCCATAACTGAGATGTGTTCAATTGAAATTCCTTCGAATAAATGTTTATTTTAGGATAAATCCTTTTTCATTTCGAATGCATATTATCTTATCCTATAATTATTAGTATTTTTTTATGTTTGTCATCTAATCTTCAATTTTTGAAGAAAACACATAACATGCCAGAACAGTAGCTACAAAATACTGAATGTCAAACTATCAGGTGCATTTTTTTTCTCTGTACTAATTTAGAGATTGAACTACACAGTATGAATGATGCATGATAATGAAAATAGCCATGACAATGTTGGCGATCGTAAAAAATTGTAATTTTTGCTCTGGCTTACATAATTCCAATTAGACACATGAATTTAAAATGGATAGTTGGTAGTGAGAATTTTTTGTGATTTATTTGTCAATGTTTATTTCTCTTTACAGATAATTTAAGTAGACATGGGTATTTAAGTGTGAAATCTTATCTTTTCACATCTTTGTTAAATCATCTTTTGAAAATTAGCATATTTTTTCATAGGATATAAATCGAATATATTTTATGCATATATATTGTGACTAACTTGATTCGCTGGTTCAATGTTTTAATCTAGACACTTTTTTCAGATGATATGTTTGTTTAAATTGCAAAACATATTGTACATTTTGATAATATTTAAATGCGATATAATTAAAACGATTTAAATGTGAACTGATTTCCGAACATCCGTAAAACAGATCTATATAGGCTAGTTCGTTGAGTGTCAATGAATAAATATTTGTGAATAACACGTCCATATTAGATACATCAACCTTTCGGTAAAAAATATTGTTGTGCAGTTTGTTGTAGTCTCAATTTTACACTCATACGTTAAGAAAGTTATAGGTGACACAACTATAGTTTCTTTGTGAAAGAAAGTACGCTGGTCATGGTCAGAATTTGATTTCGATACTTGTATGATAACACATTGTCCTTCGAAAACGTCGATGAGAAGTTCCACGCTTGAAAACTAAATCGATTGATAACTAATTTATTCATAAATGACAAACTGTATTGGTTAGACTGACTTACATTGATTGACTAGTTGAATGCAGTGTTTGGTGTTAACTACAAACTTCATTAACCTTCTATACTAATGAATTATGTTTACTGAAACAATATCTGTTGAAAGCAAGCTGAACAAAAATATTTATTGATTCTGGTGATGAGTGTTCAGTTGTATGAAGGAAAAATTTTTAATTTCAGCCTTTGATTTCTAATCAGTTAGTCATCCAAAAGGATAAACTGTTAAAACGTAATTCAACAATTAAATTGCTGCTAGTTTGTGATAAGCGTAGAATGTTTTTATGAGTGTATATTCAATGTTTAGGTCAATAAGTTTTGGATCTGTGAGTTATACTCAAAACTGTCTTCATCATGAATCGATGTCACCTTATGTATTGAACAAAAACTCGATCTTTTCAGCAAAGTTTGACTGTGACTAGTAGTAGAAGCCACATTACTTATTTTATCCTATTTTTAGGACTAAGCAGTTGAATGTATCTACATAGCAGTGTTAATGTTAATGTTCAGTTTCTCACTTATTACCTATCAACACACTGTTTAATAAGCTATTGAGTTCGTCAACGCACCAACTTATCCGATTGGTATGAAGTTATTAGTGATGGTTAACATTTTATCGTTACTGATATAAAGAATTATAGGTAATCAACCTCTATTCATATATGACTAGTTTTATTCACCAGTTTCTAGTAAAAATGGTTTGTGTTTAACAGTAGTAGCAGTATAGGCTGATCAATTCCAGTCCTCATTATCAACAATACAGAAACAGAAACCCTTGTAAATAAATGTATAGTCACGTTTAATCAAGAAATTCACACTTTTACATTACAGTAATGTGACATACAAATATACTAAACTGTAGCAAACAAAAAGAATTTATTAGCTAACTCTCTCTCTCTCTCTTCGCGTTACTCAAAAAAATCTAAGAAATCTTAGCATAAAATACTACAATCATTTCTTTTGTACTTACTTCATAAATTACTGAATCTATTGGAATATTTTCCTTGATTTGTATTTCATAAACAGCTTGTGAAAATGTTGGTTCAATATCATTGATATTAAGCACTTCCACATGAATTTCCAGTCGATCTTCCGCGCTGATTGTGTCCACATGTTGATCTTCTGTGATATAAGGTGATGAACAAACTAAATAAAATTTATATTCTCTAACCGATTCATAATCTAAATCTTTTTGTAAAACTAGTACAAGTCGTGAATCATTACGTACAACTAAACGAAATGTTTCTAATGAATTCGACTGATCATCAGGATGTGAATCAAGACGATAAACTAATTCTGCATGATGTGGTTGTATATCTTTATCAATGGCTTTAGGAAGTTCTACATATTTCCCAGCTCGATAAATTACCTCTTTCAATTTCAATTTATAAGGTCTAGCCACAGTAGGTGGGAATTGTGGTTGATTATCATCAATATCCGTTACTGTTATTTCAATATTTACAATACAAATTAATTGAAAATTAGCCCATATATTCACATAAATATTTAATTGTGCATGATAAGTATTCTCTTGACAATAACGTGGACACAATGCTTCCAAATCAATTACTTTCTTTGTAGTTAATACACTAGTTGTTTCATTAACATGAAAATAATTTGATGGTTCACGTAAACGATAATGTGAATTGATTTGTTTCGATAGTTGTAATAAATTGAATAGACGAGTTGAACGAATCTCTGGTGTTTGCATAAGATCTTCATTGATTTGACCAATTTTGAAATGTATTGGTTGATTTTCTGTTATAGCATAACGTAAATTGTATTGAGGTGTTTTAGGATTACCATTGGCATCATTATTACTGCTACTAGTAATACTATTCAGCGTATTAGAAACATCATTATTGGTAGTAGGTAATAATGATGATGAATAAGCACTGACTGAACAAACATGACACAACATGAACATTTGAAAGTAATATGGAACCATAGTAAACCATACAATTGTAGAAACAATCCATTCAGAGGTTAAATATTCTTGCGACATTCTTCTAGTCTGATAAAATGAAGAGGAAAAAATACGTAATAAAATAAATATTTGAAATTATATGATACTGAATTAAAGTGATGATAGAAATAATGACAGTAATATATCAGCTGCAATTTCTACCTGAAGCCCCTCTTGGGTTACCGCCGGTTCCAAGCCTGGATAATAAAGGAGGGTTGGGCATAGCTTTAGTGACCACATCCCTTAGAAAACTAATTTGCTAAAAAAACGCTAACAAGAAAAAATTATTCAAACCACTTAAACTCTGTCCTGAGAGTTAGAAAATTTTCATTTAGATGAGTTATGACGTCTTATGATGAAATCTGAGTCCCTTTGAAAGTTACAAGGTCGATACTTCTCACAACCAGACATGGGATATTCGTACAAGATGGGACACCAGGAGAGTCATCCAAGTTGCTTCATGATCTATCGAATATGAACATTTACTAAACAAAATATTTTAATGTTGTGAGAGCTTAAGTGGCTGTTCACAGTGAAGTATTGTTCTGTGAGTTGAATGGTTTAGTTGTGCAGCTTTCATTGTTCTTGTGAACAACATCATCAGCACAAACTTTCTGTAGAAGTGACGTATTTGAATCAATTTTATGAGTAATACAAATATCGATATTTCGGGCAAAACACTCTGTTTTAAGCATAAAAGCATAACGAATGAATTTAATTTCATGATTTTATTTTCAAATATTTGACCTAGTAAGAGATAAATAGGTGACAACAGATTAATAAAAAATTTTTTCTTCAACAAACTATTTGACAATGACATTGCTGAAACTCAATCATTTGATAAGTTTGCCTTGTTTTGCGAAAATAATAATTCTTTGTATAAACGTGTACCTAATACGTTAACTTATAAAACTTAGGCATAAAAATCATTTCTTTTCAATTTTATTCTCTTTAATCAATATCCATGTTTTGATTGTGATGAAAACTGTCCACAAATAACATCGTCCAGTATCCACCTGCAAAAATGTATTTCTTCGATCATTTGATTGTGAAGATTCTGTTACAATTTGTAATCTTGTAGTACGTTACTATAACTTCATATTAACACAGTTTTACTATAAGAAATTTTACATTTCTGAGTACACCTTTTTTATTGCTGAATCATAGAGATTGTTGTTTATTATTTAAACAATGAATAAAGCATTGTTACTACAAACAAATAAGAATGAATTTTTACACATTTGAAATCATCAATCAGTCATTGTTCAACCACCATTAAAAACCTGGCAGCACTGGATGGCCGCTTCGTCCTGGTGTGGGACTCATTAGCAGTGCACATCCATCACTCCTGCCACTCTCAGGAGTCGAAACCAAGGTCACCAGCTTCATTTGGAGATTCTAGGAGTCGAAGTGAGAAGACACGACCAGTAGAGCTCAACCCTATCGGATGTAGGTAGCAACTACCGAAGACAATGGGTGAAATTGCGCATAATCATTAAATTGACCAGAGTTAGACATCAACACCTGTGGCTGCCATCTCAATGGTTCAGAGGTTGAACGTTCACACGCAAGACTAAAGATCATGGGGTTTTGGATCCTGCTAGTAGCAGGAGTGGTGAATGCGAGCTGCTGATGAGTCCCATATGAGGAAGATGATGGTGTTCTTAAAACAACTGATTTATGATTTCGATAATACTATACTTTCTTTATTGAAATGAATGATTTTAAGTTCAAACGAAGCAACACCGTTTGAATAGGAGACCAAATTTATCCAACTTTTTGGTCTGTTATCACTATTATCAATTCTAAATAAATTGTACATTCGCTTGAAAAATATGTTTTCAATGATTCAAATGGTCGTTTATCCAAATACAAGCACTGTGGTTTGGTCCGAAATTCTCAGATACTTTTACGAAAATTGATGAGCTGCACACGAAAAGCAGTTCGACACTCCTGTTTAACAAACGCCTAACTTAATCCCGATTTTGAAAAGTCATTTCGATCAATAATCACTAATCGTTGCGATGAATACATCAAACAGTTAATCTCAACGAAGCGGTAGCTCTCAAAGAAACACAAGTCTCAAATGAATATTCTCTACAGCTATCTTATACTGATAATAGTCATACGTCTATTTTTAAAGGGATCCCATGACATCTAGTGAGAAATTGTCACCAATAAAGTTTAACTATGCCAAATTTGAGAGAGATGTTGCCAATAACAGATGATAATATTTATGTGACACTATAAAATAGACTGAAATAAGAAAGTAAATTATTAGATTAAAACTCTATGATTTTACGGTTACATGCTAGTCCCTGATGTAGTCAGCGGTGAGTACTGATTAGGGATCCCACATAAGAGTAAAATATTTATGTTCATTTGTCTTAGTTTTCAATGATTATCTGGTTGAAATTCATTTTATTGTATGAACTACGAAGTGATCTTCGAGTTGAAAACATGGGTTTCACAAAAAATATTGTAACTAGGATTTCCTATCTGATTAGCTAGGTATGCTATGTAATTTAAACTTCTCATTCTGTTCAACGAATTTCATGTATTCAAGTATCAACTGGTGATAAATAATTTTGATTAGGGTGTAAAACATGGAACTGCTGATTTAAAAATATGAATTCACATCATACTACTAATTTCAATTGGTATTTTATTTTGTACGTCAAAAGTCTATTGATTAAACGATAAAATTTCAACTACAGATTTTATTTTATCTGTAATTTGTTCCAGGTGTTCAAATATTCATTGTTCTGTTAATCATTTTCTATCTGTATGCTTTTTTTATGTTAAGGTTAAATTATAGAATTTTTCAGAGATAAGTCATGACTAGTATATATAGTCCAACTATATTGAGAACAAGATAACAGTTATTTACTACTGACAGTTGATAATTTTTTGCAATATCGGAAATCGATTGGAAATGTAAATAGGGACTTGTGGATTGTATATTGGTTAAGAATGATGTGCTTGTTACAAACTTGAAGGTAGTGAACTTCAAATGGATTTTTCTGTGCCAGCTGCTTAGACTATGAAACTGAGTGACAAGCTTGAATGTGACTAGCAGAAGAATCCATGGGTTGTATTATGCCTTGTTTATGATTCATCAACTCGATCTAACTGTATTCAATTCCAACCCTCATCATGTTAACCACAGGGTTGATGAGTTCAGCTTGTATGACAATTACTAGCTCTTTCGATTGCAACTGTATTGAGCTAACTAACTCTAAACAGGACGAAGCGTTCATCGTGGATTCCGTTGCTATTTATATTCCACTGAATTTATAGTTACTGGTGAAAAATGACTTTGTCGAAGCTAATCCTCAAACGATGTACATATGTCAGACAAGACTGATCAAATTTCAGTCAAGAACAATATCAACGGATTGACTCGTCTCCATGACAATGACAAAAAATCATTTTCCTCAAAAGTGTACATGTATCCCAATCACCACTATCAGTTACATGAAAGTTGCGTTCATGATTTCTTACCAACTACTTACCAGTTCTTAGCACATAAACATTTCAAACTGATATGATTAATCTATATATTATAAAGATGGTGTAATAAGAATGAAACTTCTAACAGGATTGAAATCTTAACATATGTAGGACAATTGATTGTGATAAACATGATATTATTCTTATGTCATCTGGAAATGCCTAATATGTTTCGTTTTTAATGAATACATATTCATATCAGTTGTAAGACTGTCAAATCCTCTTAACCTTCTTCACTTACAATCTCAGCTGACGACGCCTAATATGGGTAAAATAAGTAATGGGGAACTTTTCATATATGTATGACAAGAAGAATGGCGTTCTAATAATCAAGCCTCATATTAACAATGAACGGCTTGATTCAGTGTGGCTGATGACTATAACTAGTCTCAACGCATAAGGTAGTTCGTTACTAAATAACGAATCATCAAGAATGAACTGAGACTATCCGATGACCTGTCATGATTCATGTTGTAGCAATCAAGTATTATCCAGTTCGAATAAACAAAAATATATGGAAAGCAGATCAGTCAGCAGATTATAATTACAATCTCTTCAGAATTCATTTCATTTTTAAGTGAGCAGGAATTTTGTGAGTAATATTTATTAGTTTGAATCATACTTAACATTAGAAATATCTTTTATTTTTTTTAGAAACGATAAATGTTTCAAAATAATCGCGAAAAATTCCAATTACTGAACAGCTTAGTTAGGTTCTCTTCAGCTGCTTACAGTCTTTAACATTTTATCCAAGAAATTAACATTTTTTCATTGATAATTGCAGATGAATGTGTGTTTCATGATGAACCGAAGTTCCTAATAGAGATAATATAAGGTCATAAAAAATATAGTATGAATATAAAAATGTATGAAAAGTTCCACAATCTTGAACTAGTGATTAAAAACCAAAGACTTAACGAACTTAAAATGGTTGTGTAGTGAAATAACCGAGATCACACAAGCGTTAATCAAGAATAATTATAAGCTGAATCAATCTCTAATCACCTCCATATTTTGATTTGCTTGAAACTATCACGAGTTCACCTTACATGAAAATAGAACTAAGATCAGTGATTCAGTGACACGATAGGCTATTCTCATTCGATTGTCCCCGACCCTGAAAACTACAGCAAGAAGTAATCATATGGCATAGAAAGTGTATTCTACAAGCACTCAGAAAACACAAGGTTGACGAGTGTATAAATCGATCTCATTGATACATCATAGAAACATCCTTGAGACAGCCACAAAAATAGCCTACTAAAATAATGCATCAACCAATGCCAGTCAGGGATTTTCCTGGTGGGAAATGTAATCTGAAGGTCAACTGAGCAGAACATGTGCGAAAACAGAAAAACTTCGAAATTAGGACCTCTTCCAAGTGAGTTCTGGGGATTTAACGTCTCCAACATATTTCTAAGTGTGTCAGTTTTTAAAATCGCATAGGTTACAATACAGCTGATCAGAACCTAATTAAAATGAAATGAATTCATATTATTTTGCACCAATCGTTGTTTTTGCTCTCT